GGACACAACATCTTTGTTGGTATGTGGTGCTGAGGATTGAACCCGGGCCGCACGCATGCCAGGAGAGCGCGCTACCGCTTGAGCCACATCCCCAGCCCAGAATGTGAGCCTTTGAGGAAGGCAGACCTAGATTCAGCATTCAGTCCTGCCATAGGAATAGTTTTATTGACTTCCTTATATATAAAATGAAGATTACTTTACCTACCTTAGATGAACATCAGAAAATTTATATAAATAACACTAAGTACTTAGCACATGCTCGACATCAGATACCTTTTCTACTTGTGAAAAAAGGGTTGGTTAAGCAAAAAATAATAAATATTAAAAGTACTAGGATAGAAGCCTGTTTCTTTTTAAAATTATAATTAAATATACATAAAGTGTACTGTCTTTACCATTTTTACTTTCGAAGATCAGTAGCATTAGGCACATTTATGTTGTGCAGCCGTCTCCACCATGTATTTCTAGAGAGCTTTATCTTGCAAAACCAAATCTCTGTACACCTTAAAAAACAATAACCATTTATCTCCCTCCAGATACTGATGGCCTCCATTCTACATTTTGTTATACGAATCCGATCACTCCAAGTCCCTATCCTACAGTGTTTGTCTTTTGTGTCTTGGCTTATTTCACTTAGCATAGTTACATCAACATTCACCCATGTGTAGCATGTGCCAGATTTTTTTGCTTTTAAAGGGTGAGTAATATTCCATTGCATGGATACATCACATTTTGTTTATACATTCTTACTGTCAAATATTGCTGCTATGAACATAGATTGCAATGTCTCTGAGTTCCTGCTTTCAGTTCTTTTGGGTGTATGCATTCAGTTCTTTTGCCGAGTCATATGGTAATTTTATTTTTCATTTTCTGTGGAACCGCCATGCAGTTCATACATCCAAAGGCTACTTTTTGATGGGGAAGTGCAAACAGTGTAATTCCCTAGGAAATAGTTTCAAAACAGTCTTATGTAACATTTTGTAAATTACCTAAATGTGAGACTTTGGCAATTAAGTTTCTATTTATATAAGTAATGCATAATTCACATTGCATAACATTCAGAACACCTCATGTGTAGGGTGTGTAAAGACAGAAAAATGGTTAATGAGGCTCATTGTGGGCATGTGCATGGGATGCTCCTGCCTTCGTGTCCTCCTTTCCCAAGATCAGAGGAAATATCCCTCGTTAATGTCATTCCTTCTGCTTACTGTGGGAAAAGCAGGAAGAACTGATCTATCACAAGCTCATTTATTAAAAAAAAAAAAGTGCAGATATTACTGTCAAGTGCATTTTATGCATTCATCTTAAGTATACAGATGATGGATTTTTCAATAATATACTTTGCCTTTTTTTGGAGGGGGGTGGGTACCAGGTATTGAACTTAGGGGCACTTGACCACTGAGCCACATCCCCAGCCCTATTTTGTATTTTATTTAAAGACAGGGTCTCACTGAGTTGCTTAGCACCTTGCTTTTGCTAAGGCTGGCTTTGAACTCATGATCCTCCTTGAGCCTCCCAAGCCACTGGGATTACAGGAGTGCACCACTGTGCCCAGCATAATTTGCCTTTTTGTACTTAGCAATTTATTGTGAGCATTTTTTATATGATTAGGTGATCTTCAGCAGCATTTAAGTTTTTGTTTTTGTTTTCATTATATTTGGAGGGTTTTGTTTGTTGGTGCTGGAGATTGAACCCAGAGGCACTTTACTGCTGAGCTCCATCCCCAGACCTTTTTATTTATTTATTTATTCTTATTTTTGAAACAGTCTTGCTAAGTTGCTGAGGCTGGCTTTGAGCCTGTGATCCTCCTGTTTCAACCTCCTGAGTTGCTAGGATTACAAGTGTGCACTACTGTACCCATCTCATCCCAGGGCCTTTTTAAAACTTTAAGACAGGGCCTTGCTAGGTTGCCCAGGCTAGCCTGGAACTTGTGATCCTCCTGCCTCAGCCTCTTGAGCAGCTGGGATTATAGGCACCACCACTGCTCCCAAGTAAAGAGGTGTTTTAAGATAACAAGTCTCTCGGTTCCTGGGAGCTAAAGATGAAGTAGTTAAGTCTTGCTGCTTTTCTGTGAATACTCTTGCTTTACTAAGTTGGAAGAATTGTCAAGTGGAAATAGCAACTTAGTTTGCTCCATACTAAGCTAGTGGGCATTCAGTCTTCAGGATGTCACATTCAGCTCCATTCTCCCTCAATTCCAGTGAGGCCAAGGTTGACCTCCTTCCTCCCTGTCAGCTGGCTTTGTTGTGTAGCATCAGGGGAACTGGCCAGGGAAACTACAGCAATCTCATCCACTCAGGAATCCATTGCTTAGCCACACATATGCATTGGGAATCTTCCATTTCGATGTAGTCTTTTCAACACAGGCAGAGATTCTCCCATTCCTTTTGTTTAATTTTTAAAAATTTTTTTTAGTTGTTCATGGGTCTGTCTTTAATTTATTTGTATGCGGTGCTAAAAATCCAACCCACTCTTGCTAGGCAAGTGCTCTACCACTGAGGTAAACCCCCTTTTGTTTTATGTTTTTAGTTACTGGAGATTTAACCAAGGGGTGCTTTACCACTGTGCTACATCCCCAGCCCTTTTTGTATTTTATTTTGAGACAGGCTCTCCCTAGGTTGCTTAGGGCCTTGCTAAGTTACCAAGGCTGGCCTTGAATTTGCAGTCTTCCTGTCTCGACTTCCGGAGATGCTGGGATTACAGGTTTGTGCCACCACACTGCTCTCCCATTTTGTAGATCTGAAAGTTTAGGTATTTTGTTCAGAATCAAATAGCAGAAGTGACTAAGACTGAAACCCAGTCTTCTCTCTTAATATCAGAATTTGTTCATTTTTTAAATTAAAAAGTTTTTGGTCCCAATCCCAAAAAACCAAAGACCAAATGTTCTCTCTGATAATGCAGATGCTAACACAGAATAAGGGAAAGGAACAATAGAAGTTCACTGAATTAGACCAAAGGGAATGAAGAAAAGCAAGGGGGGAGTGTGGATGGGAATAGGAGAGACAGTAGAATGAATCGGCCATAACTTTCCTATGTTCATCTAAAAAGAACAAAAAAGTAACAAATCAAGACCAAAAAAAATGCACAGGTGTTCAGATGCAAACATCTCTCTTTTCTCAACTCCTCATTGCCTAGAAAGTAACTTGGCACTTAACTCAAGACTAGACCTTTGGTACTCAGCTGGGGTGAATGTGCCCGCTGGGAGACAATTGGCAGTGTTTGGAGACATTAGGTTGTTATAGCCAGAGGGTGCTATTGGCATCTACTGGGCAGAGATCAGGAATATGCTGCAGTGCACAGGACAGCTCAGCAGATAATTATGGAGCCCAAAATGTCATTAGTGCCCAGGCTGGAGACGGAAACTACCTTCTTAGCCTTGATTTCACCCTTTCCGTTACTGATACTGCCCTCCCAGCCAGATCCAGCAGCTCCCACACCTGTCCATAGACCATCTGAAGTACTTCTTCAGGACCTTTCACCTGAAATCCTCTTTCTACTTCTCTGATATCAGAGCCACCTGTGCTTCTCACACTGTCACTGAAGCTCGGTGCTCTCTCCAGCCATTGTTTTTTCCTTCTCGCCTCCTATGGACTACTCTAATAATTTGGCACTTAGCTGACAATAGAAGGTGATGCTTGCTTTCTTTCCAACTTGACGGAAAGTAAAGTAAAGGCTATGTTAATATGATTTGATTTGAAATATGAACTGCTACCCAGTGGGCACCTCCAACTTAGTCCACACAGGGTTTTCTGTAATAGCTTTCCTGACACCCTGGGCTACAGTGACTGAGACAGCTCTGTTCCATCACAGCAGTTGAGTACCTTGGGATTAAGCTTTGTTTAGAGAACAACTAGCTGGGTGGAACCTGAGCACAAATGAATGTATAATTAGAAAAGTATGTAGAACCTACTTCTTATTTCAGTTATAAGACAGGGTGAGGATGGAATTCAGGAATGGGCTGTAGTTTGCCTCTGATCACTTCCTTCCAATGGAGTGTAGGCTGGAAGATCCTTCTTAAGGCACTTGGGAGATATTCCATTTCAGCTGTTCAGATAGTGACTGATCCACCATAGCTGGACCTGATGAATGCAGTTGATGTTGATGAAGATGATATTAGTGAAAACTGCCATAGAGTCTAGTGTGTACCAGGCATCAGCCAAGATGCTTCATTCACTAGTTATTTCATCCAGTCTCCAGTGTAGCCCTGGAGGGAAGCTGAAGCTCTGAAAGAATAATTTGCCCAAGGCACCTGGCTAAGAAATAGCAAGCTGAAGTTTAAACAAGATGTATCTGACTCCAAAGTGTCAGCTTCCATCTCACTGTCTTGAACGTAGCCAGGCGCCTTTGCTGCTGCTGCTGCTGCTGCTGCTACTGCTGCTGCTGCTA